AGGACGGGAGATTCATACAATTGATGTTAATAGTTATTTGGTAATTCGGAAAATTAATATTTGAAAATCAGATTGACGATCCCGTATTGTGGAGCACGAAAAGTTAAAGCTCCCGTTTTGCAGAGCACGAAAACTTGAATGTTCTTCGAGTTTCCGTGCTCCAGAAAACGGGAGCTTAAAATTTTTTTTTTTCGAAATTTTGCTAGATCTAATCCTAAACATGTGTTTTTACCTAAATTGGAAATAAAACTAATTAAAAGTAGTAGGATATTGAAAATTTACCGGAATCGAGCCTCGTTTGCTACGGTTTGAATGTCGAAAAAAATTACGAAATTCGAATTTCTAAAGAATGTTTGGGAATAGGAGAGAGAAATTGAAAAACAAAAAAATTAAATAAAAAAGGTACCGCTGCAAATAGCAACACCCTATTTTTAAATGGGATAATTAGTGAAACCCCCCCAATTCATTTACTTATATTAAGGTGGATATAACCTCCTTTTCATTATTAGTGAAAACCCCCCACCTTATATTAATTAATATTATTTTAGACATTACTAATATACCTAATTTGCCCTATTATATCTAAAATAATTAAACCTATTTCACGCTCTCTATTTCTCTTATTCTTCTCTCTCTTTTCTCTCTACATATCGGCCGCCTCCAACTCTCCTCCATCTGTGTTCTGCCACCGCCTCCAACCCTCTTCAATCTCTGCGCCGCCATCGTTATTCTCTTCTCCCAACGGCGTTCCTCCCTCCACCGACGCGAAAAGAAGATGGTCTTCACCCCTGGGATTCTCTCGTCAAGGACGGCGTTAGGGTTTTCGCTAGAGAGAAAGACGAGATTATGCAGCGGCGCTAGGGTTGATATTGCGTCTGAGATTTCAATACAGACCACCGCCCCATTGTTTCATTGTTGTTGTTGTTCTTCTTCTTTGATTTTTTTTTTGAATCCAACTCTCGAATCTTAATTTTCTTAATTGGAGTTTTTGGTTGAATTCTTATATAGAAGGCTAATTTTGTGTTCAATCAATAGTATAATGTTGGTTTTGTTTTTGTTGAAATTGTGTGGTGTTATTCACAGATTTATAGATATTTTCGTACAACAATATAGTTGTTTTCGTACAACAATATAGTTGTTTTCGTACATCAATATAGTTGTTTTCGTACAACAATATAGTTGTTTTCGTACAACAATATAGTTGTTTTCGTACAACAATATAATTGTTTTCGTCAGCAATATAGTTGTTTTTATTACTTTTTAGTTGAATGTAATAGTTGATTTTGATAAATGAGAGTTGTTGGAGATGTATAGCTGTTTTAATCATATTGTTTTAATAACAGTTGTTTTAATAATAGTTGTTTTATTGAAATATAGTTGTTTTAAGTGAAGACAAAAAAACATAGTAAAAAATATTTTTAAAAAGTATAACAAAAAAGTCAAAAAAATATTTTTTTAAAATATTTTTTTTAAATAAGAAATAAATAAAAAAATGAAAATTAAAATTAAAATACAAAATAATAAAAAAATAAAAGTGTATCAAAGTAGTTTATAATAGGTTATGAATAGAGAAAGGGTAAATTTGAGAATAAAAAAAGGATGGGTCTCCCACTAATAAAGAAAAAGGAGCTGGATCCATCCTTATTAAAATAAAGGTGGAGGAGGTTCTCACTAATAGTCTCTTTTTAAATACACTAGGGGTCTCTATGTAATTAAAATCCACATAAGGGTAGATCTCAATATTGTTAATTGTTCATTAATCACCAAATAACTATTAACTAATAATTAAATATTATTTGTTAATATTAACTACTATTAATTAAGTTTTTCATTGATAATTAGATATTAGATAAAAAAAATTAAAAAAAGGAACCACTTTAAGGTGGTGTTTGCAAATGATTATCTAAAAGCAGAAGTTAGTGATTGTGAATTAAGTCAGTTTTAAGTATTTATTTCTAAAAGTTAGGGGTGTTTGCAAATATTGCGAAAAATGAACTTAAATAGAAAATGCAGGGTTATTGGTGCTTTAAAAAAAATAGCTTAAAGCAGATTATTTTATAAGAAGCAAAAGTAAAAGTTAATTTTCCAAATACGTGAAAATAAATTATGAGCAAAAAAAAACCTCATAATCACTTTCAAAAAGCTTTTCGAAACACCATTTTAGTTTTAGAGAGAGAAAATTTCTAAAAAATGTAAATTCAAATTACTGAAATAAAGCCCAATTGAGTGGAATAGGCCCATTTCTCTTTTTTCCCGCTTCAAATTAATTCAGTACCTATTTCAAAAAACAGAGCTCTTCCGAGAAATTCCGATGGCGATATCCGAAGAAAATGGCGAATTGTCCCGCAAAATTGCCAAGGTTTTCGACGATGTTCGGACCTCGAACGCCATCCACATCCGCAAGCTCAAGGAGCTCGCCTCCCTCCGCTCTTCGTCGCCGCCGGCCGAATTCTGCGCGGCGTTCTGCGGAGCCTTAACCCCACTCTTCAATTTCCAGCGCCGCACCGCCTCCGCGGAACGTATTATCAAGTTCGCCTCCGTGTTCGCTTGCTCGCGCGGCGGGGGAGGCAATTCCGGCGATGGATTTCTGGAGAAGTTCCTCAATTTTCTTCTCGTGGCTGCTGCCGCAGCTAATAGGACTCCGAGATTTAGGGCTTGCCAGATCGTTTCGGAGGTATGCAATTTTTATTTTTTTTTAATTTAATTTTTTTTTTCCAGTATTGACTTCTGGCTTCATGAAATTACGTTGGATTAGCATTTGTGAAGTCTGATATAAGCTTCTTCTTCTTGGAAAAATTAAGTCTTGAATAAAAAAATGTGAGGAATACTATAAATTGGTACTTTATGGTTTTTGTTTTCGATGTATCATCTAGATAATAGTAGCATTGGAGCTGAGTAATAGCTGGCGGTAACTGCAGGGAGGGATCTAATTTTCGTTTCTTTTGCTTTTAAAAAAAATCCATTTGAAAGTTGAGGGAATGCTTAGGTTGGTAATTAGGTATACATTTGATTTTCATGTCAGGAATAAGTGATGGATGAGAAAGTTATGGACCTCGTCTATTTTTGGTTGTCGTTGGGGTTTATATTCTCAAAGATTTGATTTCAAGTGCATGTTATTCTTCCGTGTGTTGGATTTTAAGCTCTTTATGAGATTATCAAATTATTTTCTGGTTAACCAAGCAACTAGGTTACTAGATTTTGGTATCTTGTCATGCCAGTTCACTGAGTCGGCACCTGGGCCTGATGTGAAATAAAACCAGGCAGTAAACTTACATATTTCTTTCTGTCCAGATCATTATGCGGTTGCCAGATGATGCAGAAGTGAGCAGTGGACTTTGGGATGAGGTGATAGAGTGCATGAAATTACGTGTGTGTGATAAGGTTCCTTCAGTCCGAACATTTGCAGTCAGGGCTCTTGCACGCTTTGTAAATGATTCAGAGAACGACATTCTTGATTTGTTTCTTGAGAAACTGCCGTTCGAGCAGAATGGGGTAAAGTTTTAACCTATTTTGTGAATGCACTTTTCGCTTTTCTCTCTGATTTGTCTGATTATATTTCTACATGACATAGTTATTCACTTCTCTAATGTCTTCGTGGGGAGCTAAATTAAGAATTTCGTATTTGAATTCTGTTTGCTGCATCGACCAAATTGTTTAAATTGGCTACACTAGGAGAATTATTTACACGAAAGAACAGTATAAGTTCTCCCTATACAGGACTTACATGCATGTACCGTCAACGTGAAAATTGCAATTGTGCAGGATGTTCGTAAAATAGTTGTGTTGTCTTTGCCTCCTTCAAGTGCAACTTTGTTAACAATTATCGATTGCACCCTGGATGTGAGTGAATCAGTAAGAAAGGCAGCATACTTTGTTCTAGCCAGTAAATTCCCGCTACAGAGCCTCAGGTAATTCAATCTTGTATGCCTATAGTATCTTCATTCTTCTCGTTCTGATGCATTTATATAATTTCATTTTCCACTGCGTTCTTCTTTAGTATTTGTGTTTGTAGTAAATGTAAAGATGGACTCAAGAGTTTTGTGTAGGTTTATCGAAACTGCTCCAATCTGATAATCGTCTTTTATCTTCCATAACCAAATTCTGTTGGATGAAGGAGTTTGTTAATGAAACATACTAATAATGGACTAATGGTGGGTCGGGCCTGCTATTTTTGGGGGATTTTTGTAATTTTTCTGGAGTTTTTACTAGGTCATTGAACTTCAGTAGCAACTCTGAAATGTCATATACTACAATATGGAAGCAATGTGTTACTGTTAAGTACTGTGAATTTTCCATTTCCTGTTTTTGGCTAGAATATCTTGGATGAATCTGAACAATGATATACTCATTTCCTGTCATCCAGTTATGCAATGTGCCACTTTACATCCTTGGACGCTTTGAAAGATATAAATATAGCTTGATCTTATTGAACTTTCTCTATTAAACAGAATATGCACAGAATGATTTAAATGATCCTAGAAAACTCTTTGTATTAAAGATTTTGCCGAGAAAAGACGACATTAACCAGAAATAAAGTGACAATGAGACGATTTTATATATTAGGAAAATGAGAGAACTACAAAAATCCAGACGGAAAACACGGCTTAGAACCTTCATTCTTCACTTGCTAGACAAATGTGTTCATATATGCTCGCCTTCCATCAATGCTGCAATTTCCAAGTTGTCTTTTGTTCTAAGTTCTGCATAGTGGTCTGAAAATGTGATGCTTACATATGATATGTGGAAAATGGTATGAGGGTTGATCAGATGCAAGTCTTCAACTTGATAGGAAATACATAATTTGATAATTTTCTTCAACTTGGAGGCAATTCTGTGGAGGGTTAGAAAAAGTTATCTGCTTTACAATGATTGCTTGATTACATGATATGTGTTTTTCAGCATCAAGTTCAGAACAAATATACTTCAGAGGGGGCTTGCCGATCGCTCCGCAGCTGTTGCAAAGGAGTGCTTGAGGATGATGAAAGATGAATGGCTTGAGAAATGTTGCAATGGAGACCCTATAGAACTACTTAAATATCTTGATGTTGAAACCTACGAATCGGTTGGGGAATCAGTAATGACCAATCTATTGAAAGCAGGATTGGTAAAATTGCAAGATGGTCAAACACTCCGTAAATTTTTTAAATCCAATGGTGATTCAGCAGAAGGTAAAATCTTGATTTACTGTTAAAACAACGAATTCTTATAGTTGACACTTGATACTTCTCAGCATTTCTCAGTATATGCAGAAATTCCACTACAGATGCAGTTTAGTTTCTGCTACATGAATCACTGTCCAACAATCTGAAATAAAAATAACAGCTATTCCTTATTGTGATTAAAGCTATACCTCGATTTTGTGTATTTGCTTGCTTAATGTTCTGGAAGGTCATATTACTTGTTGAAGTATGTGCTTAGCTCTAGAGAAGTGCTTACAAAAAATGGAAAAATAACATTAGAAAAACCAAACATCACAGTTTGTGTTTTTGGAGTCAACATAGTTGTAGATCATCCTCCAGATAATGTTATTGTAGTTGATTTATCGAGATTTTATCGAAGAACTTGTTAGTGTTAAGTTTGTATTCATAATCTTTTATTTTTCCGATATATTGAAGCAGGACCCTGCGATCATTCTATTGAGCTAATGGAAGCAGAAGTTGCTCTTTTCTGGAGAATGGTCACTAAGCACCTGCACATGGAAGCACATGTAAGTACTTGGTCTTGACAAGCAGCTACTCACTTTGTTGTTCGATTTTAAAGAACTTTCATGCTAATTTCTGTAGAAGAACTATTTTATCTCCACATTGAGGAAAAATTTAAATATGTTTTTGGAAGCTTTTTAACGACGTTCTGGCCCATATTATTTCTCGAAATGAATAGTTAGTAGAACCTCCAAGAAATTTGAAAGATATACCTTCATGTATGATCCTCCTTACACCACTTAAGCAAATTTCTTTTTAATATATTCCATCTAGTCATTTATATGGTTGATTATTCCATCTGGCTTATGAAAACGAGTGTTGATGTCGAAAACTTCACCTCACCATTTCTTAACTTTGCATTTGAAAATAAACACATGGGAGATAATTTTTTTTTTTTTGATATTTTCGTAACTTTTGATGTTTGAATGATGTGATGACGAAATAGAGTAAAGTTACATACAGACTCTCTAAGAATTTGCATCACAACTGAGTTCTGGGTTCGTCTTTTTGGTGATTAGCATTTTGCAACAGTATATATGATGTATTGGAACAATTTGTCGTGAATTTTGTTCCTGTATAACGATTGATAAAATTATCTATAAATGTGGTTATATGATGCTGAAAAGGCAAAAATATCCCATCTTGAAGAAATTTTAGTAATGATATCCTGCTGCTCTTTCACTAAAGATTTTCTCCAAATAATGTCAATCAGAAAAAGGGATCTGATGCTGCTATGGCTAAGGGCATGGAATCAGCAGTATATGCAGAGGAAGCTTCAGATAGCAATGATCTTCTCGATAATATTCTTCCCGCCACAATTTCTGAATATGTTGAATTGGTTAATGCTCACATTACTGCCGGTGGGTGAAAATTTAGCAGTTAACATCCTTTGTTAAATTCCATGATATAAATATTTACGCCATCCGATTTTTTACAGGGACAAATCACCGGTTCGTGTCAAGGCAATTGCTACTTCTTGGTACTATGCTTGATTTCTCCGATACTTCAAACCGAAAGGTGGCCGGTGAATTTGTTCAGGATTTGTTGCATATAGCCCTCGATCATGAACTGGATTATAATGGAAATGAAGTATTCATTGGAGATTGTTTTAATTTGGGAGGGGAGAAACATTGGGCTAACGCAGTTGCGGAATTGACAAAGAAAGTCCATACAGCAAAAGGAGAGTTTGAAGAAGTTGTTCTTACAGTGGTAGAAGAGGTGGCTCGGTCTTGTAGGGAGAGAACAGCAGACTGTAAACAGTGGCTGCACTGTCTTGCTCTCGTCGCACTTCTTTTCGAGAATACATCTTCCTTTCGCCAGATGGAAGGAAAACCCATTGACCCTAATGAAATTCTTCACTCTTTATTGCTTCCAGGGGTATGAAATTTTCCTTGTTTCATTGTGTTTTTACATTTTTTCGGGTGACATTCTTGTTGCTATTGTGTTTAGTTTGGTGTGTTGTCTAATGCAGGCGAAGCATTCTAACTTGGATGTACAGAGGGCTTCTATTAGGTGCCTTGGCCTTTTCGGAGTGTTACAAAGAAAGCCTACCGAGGATATAGTAAAGCAATTAAGATGTTCGTTTATCAAGGGTCCTCCCACAGTTACAATAATTGCTTCTAAGGCATTACTCGATCTTGCAGTATGGCACGGCCCACATGAAATGGACAAAGCCATGAACTGCAATCTCTCTAAAACGTCTTCTTCGACCCCTGTTGAGTTTTGCAGTGGAAGCGAAGATGTGGATATTGAACTTCTTGATTTATTACACGTTGGGCTTGAACATGATTGGGCCGATTTTGTAGACGTTGACGAGAATCGGTCAATTGAAGATATTCTTGGAGAAGGTTTGGCGAAAATACTTCTGTTGAGTAATAAGTTTCCTGGATCACTTGCTTCAGAACATCACTTGTTATTAGCAAAGCTCATTAGTCTGTACTTCAGCAGCGAAAATGAGGAGCTTCAAAGGTCACTCTTTTCTCCTATTTATATACGCGAAACACGGAATCCGAAGTTGCTAACTGATTTGATAATATTGACTTTTGTAGGTTGAAACAATGCCTGTCGGTTTTCTTCGAGCATTATCCATCCCTTTCTGCAAATCACAAGGTCTGACTTCTGAGTTGATGAGAGTATTTATCCACTTTGTTATGAGGTTATTGAATCTTGATTTTATTTCATGTTTGCTGAAAATGCAGAAATGTTTATCGAAGGCTTTTATGCCAGTTATCCGTTCATTGTGGCCTGGTATAAATGGAAATGTCGCAGGGTCTACTATGATGGTGTCTAATATGCGTAAGCGTGCTATGCAAGCTTCACGTTTTATGCTGCAAATGATGCAAGTTCCTGTATTTGTAAAGGAGACTACAAAATCAGACGAAAATATAAGTGAGAATCCTGATGCTGAGACAGATTCCTTACCTGATTTCGAGAGTGGAGAGGAAGGGCTTGCTATACGCATTGCAGTCGAGGTATCTATAGTTTAATTTTATTAATGATACTACATTGGAGATTCAAAATTTTCCTATTCGAAAATTAATTTAGTTTATTATTTTAGAACTCTTTCTTTATGAACTTCACCGAGTAAAATGTTTTTAGTTAGTAGTACAGGATTACGGGTTTAGGATATTCTATTTATTTCATATGATGGTTTGTTTTTTCTCCTACACGAAGGTGGCTAGCTTCAATCGCAAGAAAACAGCTGCAGAAAAATCATATGTGGCTGCACTTTGTAAAACACTCGTCTCGCTTCAATTTCGGGTATCGGAACAAATGGTCATAAAACTCATGCAGAGGATTTTGAACCGCGTGAGTGTAGTTGTCGCAGCTGAAAAGGATCTGACTAAAGAATTGAGGCAGATGTTTGAACGCTTGCAGGCGATTGACAGCTGTCCAGATGAGAAATTGTCGCCGGAGCAAACTAATATGATTTTAGGTAATGCCAATAGTTCTTTACATGGAGAATATTTCATTCATTTTGATTGAAGTTACGCATTACGCATTTTACAACATTTTACAGTACGAATTAGTAGTTGTTTTTGTCTCCTTACTACTCATGGATATCTTTGGTTTCTGTATTTATCTTTTATAATGCTCGATTTACGAACAGGTAAGTTGGATCTAGAAATCAACTTCGATGTGGAAGAAATTACGGAAGTGCCCCCAACTCCAGCACCGCAATCAACACGTCAAAACCGGTCAAGAAGAAGACGAGCAAAGGACGAAGAATCATCTTCATCCGACGAAGAAGTTTCTCCTACTTCCGTAGTTCCTACTACACCTGTTGTGACTAACAGCCGTTCTCAAAGGGCGAGCAAGACGATTGCGCTGAGCAGAATGACAGCTAAGACTACAGTTACAATAGACGAAGATGATGATGAAGATGACGACGACGACGTCGATTCGGATGTGACTTCTGACGATGATTCTTGAATCTTTTGAAGTAAGTCTGCAGGTGTGGTTAACTATTTTGTTAACTTTATCTATTTTGCAGAATTATTAGTGTGTTGTTTGTGAAATTGGTGTGATGACTAGTGAAAGTTGTGCATCTCGTACAAGGTAGCGGAAAACAATGACGATCTTTTGTGTAGTTTGATGTAATGTTTTGTATGTGTTAGAGTATTCTATGCTGATTTGAATGATGATCTTCGACTCCGATGCGATTCATCGGAAACTCCGTTGTCTTTCAGCCCAAAATGCTAGTGGGTTTTGTGTTTATGGTTGGTTAAGTAGCGCTTCATCCATTTCAAAATAAGTGTCACTTCGATCATATTTTGTTTTCCCATATTAAGTATCACTTTAGAGTTTCAGACAAAATTGAACATCTTTTACCAATTTTGCCCTTATCGGTAATTGTTCAAGCTCATTAATTTGTACCACTACTTAATCTTTCTTCTAGGTTTGTATGGGGCAATTTAGGGCTTTTCTGCTAAAAAGGAAGCTATTTATTAGATTTCTTAATTTGTATGCGCGTTTTTTTCCCCTTAAAAGACACTTATTTTAAAACCGATGCAGTAAAATGTTAGGTTAAGGTCAAATTATGTATCTATTTATGTTCGGTTTTTGTTAGAATGATATGTTTTTTGCGTTTTTGTTATTTCTAAATGCAGTGGTTTCCGGTAGTTTAATCTGCTTGCTTACAGATGAGTCCAAACTTAATCAACTGGCTCAAGTAGCCGAATAAAAAACATATATGCCTAACTGAATCTACAAATTATTAGAAGACCAAAGTTGGGTTTAAACCTAACATGCCCAACCCTTGAATTCCATATAAAGAGAATTCGACAAATTTCACAATGAAAAGTTATGACACCCTTTTCTACAAATGATATATCATGTGCAATATTTTAACGTACACATATTCTTAACTCGTTTGATCGAGCGTAAAGTTTTATCAAGATGGGATATCTAACTTGATCGTTTGTCCGCAAAAACCCTAGTGTGCCACATAATGTGTGATTGTGTACGTTGTAAGAGCCGAATGAACACATTTTCTCTATTAGTTGAACCTGAATCTCGTTTTCGGTCTAATTCTCCAGCTCGACTCCAAAACTATCTACTCAAATATTATGTTGTAGATATTTAAATAATCGTGGGTGTGTACAAATCGGAGTAGTTATTGGTCGTACGATGAGATTTTACTCGATAAAATTTATTGGATCAAAATAAAATAATATGTAAAAATCATAATATTAAATAATTAATAAATTTTATTATAAAGAGTGAGGAAGATTCATGCCGGTGGCCGGCCTAGCATTGATCACTATTAAATCTGGAAGTTGAAGCCTGTAGGCTGTAGCCACCCTAACTACTTGACACTAATTATACTTCATCACATATTATATTATACAATTAATTAATTAATGAAAATAATTAATTAATATTACTATTGCCCAACTGGCTATTGCAAAATATTTTAATGTAACTAAGTTTAATAATTGGTAGTTTAAATAAATGATTGCCGCCCTTTTGCGTCGCAATTACCACACTATCTGACAAAATTATGTGACAATGAACTTTTATTTATTTAATTTTTTTTTGTTTAATATCTTGAAATGCTATTGATGATCATAATTATATAAGATTAATTCATGCAAAACAAGTTTTGCTGATCCTAATTGATGTTAACACCGACACTGCGTGATGATTTATCATCTATGCGTAGCACGAAAACTTCAAATTCTCAACGTTTTCGTGTTTCGGACACATTTCGTATCCGACACTCGAAGGACACCTGCCGAAAAACATGTTTGAATAGCAAATTTTCAAATTTACTTCCCATTTTTGGGACATGCCATTTCCCTATATCCATTTTCCCGTATCACAGTTTCTATGTCCGTGCTACATAGTTTCAACTAATTCTTTTCTTATTACTAATTACTCTCTCCACCTGTAAGAATTAATGTTTGATAAAATTTTGGAATGGGAGAGGCAATGAGAAACAAAGATAATGCAAAACTTGTATCTAAAATGACAAAATAATATGAAATATTCTTATAGAAATTTGAACTGAAAAATCATTTTGAAATAAAGTTAATTTATTTCTAAGCTGCAAAACTTGCGATTCGAACAATTTGCAAAATGAAGTATCGTTAAGACTTTAGGTGGTGATTGCAAAAACATTTGAAACTGATTGTGAGCTTTTATGGCATTGGAAATAGATTTTGAGTGTTTGCAATACGAACGCTTGCTTTTGCTTCTTTTAAAATGAGATGATTTAGAGCAACTCCAATGGAGGAATCAAACGCGTAATTAAATGGTAAAACTTCTATTTTAATGGTCCAAAACTTAAAATTTCATCTCCAATGAAATAATTAAATTGGTAGTTATTTTGATATTCAACTTTCGAATATGCAAAAATGTATTATGGGAAAAGAGGTATCAAAACATTATCTACCCAAAAACTCTATCATAAATTGATGTATCAATTTTAAATATAAAATATATTTATACTTATATTTAAAATTTGATAATCCATTTAATGATATTAAAGTAAATGTGTATTAAAATAATAAAAACGACCACGCAATTAATATTTGATAATCCATTTTAATATTTTACCATTGAATTGCTCTTCCTCCATAATTTGAAATCACCCTTTGAGTTGTTTCTCCAATGTAAAAGCACTTGAGTAAATTAAAAAAAAAAAAAAACATTTGGAATTAGATTTTTTTCTTTGGAATCTGGTTTTGTTTTTTGGTGTACCCTATTTTAAATTATGATATGATATATTTATTTTTATTTTATTAAGAAGAAAGAGAGTCTTTTATTTATATTTAGAGATTTGGTACGTCGTCTCTACTATTAATGTCTCTAGCATTTGAATTTTTGCCCCTCCTCTACTTCTTCAATTTGTAAAAGAATAAAGATTTTTAATATAATTTTTTTTTAAAAAATCTCTAATTTATTATGATTAGTTAAAATATAAAATTAAATACAAAAACACTCATATACTATGAACTTTGTATTAAATACTTCTGTGCTACACATAAATAAAAAAAAGAGTTTTTTCGTATTTATATGTAGTACATAGAATATATACACAACGTGCACTGCACAAGGGTATTTTTGTATTTAAGCCTAAAATATATTATCTTTACCACACATTTCAGCCCTATTAATGCCCCTAGCTATGTGACATAAAATTAACATTTAAAAGAAGTGGCATGACTTGAAGTCTCTCTTGTGCAATAAATCCAAAGATCGTAGACTTGGAAAAAACACACAGATTTCCTCTCAATTTGTGTGGGCGTGAATTTTATATGCTTTCACACCCCTTTTTTCTTTTTCCTTTTTAAAATGTATTATATAGATGAAATAAACGTCATGCAGCACGAATATTTTAACTTCTTATTATTGTTGTGTTTAAGAAACATTTTATGTCACCAACCCTCATTAGGAGGGTTGGTACCTAGCCTTACCAATAGGGTAAAAGGTCTAGGGTTCGAGTCCCCCCTCCCCTACTTTCCCTTGTAATGACTTGAATTACTCAAAAAAAAAAAAAAAAAGAAACGTTTTATGTCGGACACTCGAGGGCACCTACCGTACACTTTATGGGCCATTTTATAAATTTTAAAAAGTTAAAACATGTTTGAATAACAAATTTTCAAATATTGTTGTTACTTCCCTAATTATTTACATGATTTAATGATCAATTACAAATTGGAGTAAAATTTATTTCGAACATGTCTGTATGGAATAAAATTCACGTATCCCCATTTTTGGATATGCCGTTTCTACGTATCATTCTCCTCATTTTCGTGTTCGTACTACATAGGTTACATGGGTATATTACATTGGTCACTTCTATATTCAATCTAATACTTCATCTGTTACATAATAACCGTCTTTTATTAAAAATATTTTATTCCATATTATCTATCACTTTAGATTTCCAATACCCCATTTATTACTTAATTTCTAATTTATACCCTTATTAACTATTTCTAATACTTCCTTTAAATTAATTTCTCTCTTACTCTCTCTGTCCCTTATTATACGTTTTTTTATAGTGTTTTTGGTCCCAAATTATTTGTCATTTTAGAGTTCCAATAAGGTATTAAAAACATTTTTATCCATTTTATCCCTTATCACTCTTAATTAGTTAATTAAAAAATAATTAATGACAAGGGTATTTTAGTATTTACTATGTTATTTTTGGTACAATCTATGCATATTTATTGACTATCTTAATCTACACATAACCACAGAAAACGACATATAACGGAGGGAGTATTAATTATAAAATAAGGTCATTTTAGTCTAAAAACATACATTTTCATAAAATCAAAACACATTTAATGAAATCCTTAATAATGTGCAAAGCTAAAAACGACTATTAAAATGGAACGGTATTTTTATTTGGTACAAAAATTTTAAGGATTCATTTTTTCTTAGCAACTAACCCTAAAAACTCATGATTAAGGGGTATTAGAAGAATTTTTGCTATCTTTTTATATATAAAAGAAAGGTTTGCCCCCAAAACCCTAAAATTAGTTTCTTTTTAAATTGTGAAGTATTTGTTTATTTTATTTTCTCCTTTTTTACGGCACATTCAAAAATATTTGTTTTTCCTTTTTTTTTTATAGAACACGTTTCGTTTTTTTTTTTTTTTTTTATAATTGTTCTCGTTTTTTCTTTTTTCATTCTTCCTTTTTTTCCCCATTGCCCACTAAACACGGTCAATTTTTATTCCCATTTTTTTTTTATTTTTAAATATTTTCTTTTTCTTTTTTTTTCTTCTTCTTTTTTTTTTTTCCCCCCGAGCACTAAATTTTCTCTCTTTTTTATAGGACACATTTTTTTTATAATTATTTTGTTTTTTTTTCCATTCCCCACTAAATACGGTATGTGTATTAAATTTTTTTGGTAAAATATATATTTAGATTATGATCGCAATTAGTGGAATTTTTACATTTTCGGTGTTCCATTGTTTTGCTATTATACATATCATATGTGTTTATAAATTTCTAATTTTGCTTATCTTATGTCTTTTTTTCAATATCCGCCCGTGCAACGCACAAGGCAAAATACTAGCATTATTTATGACATAGGTAATTCTTTAACAATTGAAATAATGCAAATTTTTTTTTTAATTTTTATAAATCACTCTTATATATAGTGAATATATAAATATGCGTTGGCCATTTCAACTTTCAATTTGAAATCAAGAATAAAATATAGTTCCGATGTGGGACAGAATTGAATGACATAATTTTTTGGCAGGGGAAGTTGCTAGTAAATTTCATCAGAAGCATCCAATTTATGTC